GGGACTGTGAGGCAGACTAGCATCTCCTTAGTGTCCAGTGATAATCCAGCTTAGTCTACCTAGTTCTTTGCCTTTGAAATGTCAGATGTCTCTCGTCTGGATTGTTCATTAACTGACTAACAAAAATTTAAGGTAATGAGGTAATTGAAGCATGTTAGTAATTCTGAAAAGGTAATTTGTTAAATCCATTGAATAGCATAATTAACCTTTGCTTCACATTCATTGCTATTTATCCTATGTTTAATTTGAGACTAATTTGCATGCCTTCAAGATGATGAATTCCTGCAAACTTCAGTGCTTCAGTGGTTGATTAATGATTGCATCAAGTCAAGCAAAACTGTTTGTTTTGTTTTGTATGATTTTCTTGGGTGGTTTTAAGAAAATTTTGTGAATTTATTTCTTTGTAAAATGTATTTATTTGGTTAGTGAGTGAGACGTTTCGATACAGATTCTTGTACCGTTGTCAAGCAAGACAACGGTACAAGAATCTGTATCGAAATGTCGCACTCATGAAATAAAGAAGTTGTTATCCATAAAAACTTGTTCCATATTGTACGTCTCAACTTCTAAAATGCCACTCAAACAAGTTATGTATTTATTTGTTCATAAGTATCCTTACAGAAGAAGAATAGTAATCACATGAAGAATAAACAATGGCTGTGAAACTGACAAGACTGAAAAAAAAACAAAAGCAGCTTGTCATCTAATTTCAAAACTGCTCATATTTCTAACTGAATCCCAGTTCTGAGTGGTAACTGAACATTACCAGAAATGCCTCATTTGGGATTTGGTTTGAATTTTAATTAAACTATTACGACGAAAGAATACCATGGGATTTCCAGCCTTCAAAATCTGACAAGTGCCAGATCAATCATATTTATTGCGTAACAAGCTGATGGAGGCGTTGGTCAAGGTTCCCTCTGAGACCCTGTTTATTAGTTGTCACAGTCTCTGCTTGTAACTCACTCTGACACCAGTTATAAATATTTATTGTGCAATGCTCAGTGTCTGTCAGAGCATTTGAAACACCACTAGATGTAGTGTGGTTGGCTAAATTAGGACTGATGTTATAGCTGATGAGATTCGAATCGCTTTGAAATTTAAATTTTCAGCCCAGAAGAATTTGAGTAAACATTAGTCATGTTTGATTATGGATATCTCTGTCTTGATTAATATAATCACACATCAAATGCCTGCTGAATTTTTTGTTGTTTTGTTTGATTATGATTTATGGAAATGTTTGTTTTCAAATGGTTATGATTTTTTTCCAAACCTATCATTATATGAAACAAGAATGCTGTGGGATTAACACTGTTTCGAAAAAGAGAGAGAAAAAAGAAAATTTGGAAAAATAAACATTTTCTAATTTCATATCATTCCTTGTTTGATGTCATCCTTGTCTTTTTGTCAGTTTATTTTCAAAAGATAAATTATTTTTTCAGTCATATCATGCAAATACGAAATATCTGACAGTCATGAAATTAAACATGACTCAAAGGAAGGAAAGTGTGTACCCAGGAAACAGAGCTATTGTGATTTCTTTGGTCGAATGTACATTGAATCTCTCATCAGATCCTCCCAACACATAAAGTAAATACACCTATCTAAATGAAGAACGAGATATAGGCCACATTTTTTCACAGCATTCCAAGCAGTATGAGGCATACAGACCAGATTTGAAATAAAGGATATGCACATAAGTATTGAGAAGAGGCCAAGGCAAATAAAGCAACGATAACAAAGCTGTGGAATAAGATCCACTATTTGCTCAGCACCAACATGGTGTAATCCCCTTGTAGCAGATGTCTACCTATCTGACACTTCATACCTCTCCCTGTTTATACTTCACTTGATTAAGGCTGCAGCTTCAGCTCAGTCTACAATATCTAGGGTTACAGAGCAACTCTGGAGGATAAGGGGTTAAGGAGGGTACATTTTGTGTACTGTAGGAAGGATTGTACAATATCTAGGGTTACAGAGCAACTCTGGTGGATAAGGGGTTAACGAGGGTACATTTTGTGTACTCCAGGAAGGATTGTAAAAGATTCATGTTTTCTTGATGAATATTGAGAAATGTGAATTTTTAGGATTAGGGCTATTTGTGAGTAAGTGAGGTTTCATGCCACTTTTACGAATATTCCAGCAGTATCATGGCAGAGGATATCAGCTTCATATGTTGTGGCAATGTGGGGAATCAAACCTAGGTCTTTAGCATGATGGTCAAACGCTTTAACAACAAGGCTACCCCACCTCCCCTTACCCTTTTTGACGCTGCTACACTTTGCATGGGATTTTTATATATTGATAGCATTTTGTGTTTGAATTGGATCATAAGTGGCGGAATACTGCAACTTTAGGGGGAATTTGCAGATTTTGATCTTTTTGTTCTCCCTGCTCTGTTTCATGGAAATAGAACTTTTAGTCAGAGACACATATGTATCTAAGGTCATATTCAGAAATAAGTTGTTAAAGGGAGACTATGCTCTTCGGCCTGGTGACCATTGTCGGATGTTGTAAGAACTGCCTTTTTTGAAACATAGACACCACTATCATTGCATTGCTTGAGCAGTTTAGATATTAAGTGTGAGACTGGTTATGTCATAAATTGTCAGTAGTTCTACCCCACTAGACTAAGAACTAGTCTCTCAAATGAACATATTTTACGAAAAAAAAGTTTATAGTAAAAAAAAATAATATATAATGAAAAGGAGCCCTGAGACTTTCTTCATTTTCAGAAGCTGTGCTCTTACAACTAACAGGATCGGGTGGTCAGTCTTGCTGACTTGGTTGACACATGTCATCGGTTCCCAATTACGCAGATCGATGCTCATGGTGTTGATCACTGAATTGTCTGGTCCAGACTCGATATTATTTACAGCCTGCCACCATATAGCTGGAATATTGCTGAGTTCGGCGTAAAACTAAACTCACTCACTCACTCATGATGAGCAAACACTTAACCACAAGGCTATGCTAATTTTGAGTTGGCAGAGTAAACTAAAGGCTGTTGGAATGGATTTGAAATTGCAAGGACTCATCACCCCCAATCCGCAAACTATCTTATATGTATACATCACTTATGAATAGCAGTAAAATTTAGTCAGTCATGAAATCAAAGGATATTACTGTGCATTATAATGACCACCTGAATAATCAGTCGATCAATGTGTATGTAAAAGTTTGATATCTTCAAACTCAGTAATACTGAACTGAACACCAAGTGCCTGCTTTAACTTTGATCTTCGCTGTGTAATTGAGAAGATTAACATAAATGATGGCGTTGACTTTCTCAATGCATCCATTATTGTGCCTGCCGCTTGTTAAATGACGAAATAGCGTAGGCAAGGAGCTCTATAGCAATATCGTTTTTCTCGTCACATAATACAGCCGTACATATCTATACTTAAATGCATCTGTGTGAGAAAAAATGCTCATGTGTTATTGATTGAGTTGCTTTTATGGCATGAAATCGTAAAATTAATAATGTATTGAGATTTTAAGAGATGTCTGTAGTGCGGCCTGTCTGGGTTTTGTGAGCAGAAAAGCCTGTTATTTATCACTGTGATGAAAGGAAATGAGGTTGAAAAAGGGTTTGGGGGCATGGTAATTTTAAAAAAATAATTTTACTTTCATTGAAGAACATTAAAACGTCTACCTAGAATACAAGATGCATTTTTATTGATGTTTTAGAACTTTCCAAGGTGTAAAATGTCATTGGAAGGACTTGAATATTTGGAATTATGGCTACATTGCATGCAGTTTGTCTTTAGTAATTTTTATGTTTGATTTTTTTATACAATTGATTCACTACAAATACCAAATAGAGGGAAAGCATCCATTCATTGCATGTGCTGAATATTCAGACAAGATTATATTTATAACATTCCATTATAAAAAATAACTGTGCGAGTAAACTAATAAATATTGATAAAGATCAGCATGGGCTTGGGGCGCTTTCTTCAAAGGTGTACTCTCAGTGTTGTTGATAGAGTAATACCATGTTTCTAGGAATAACGGGATCGGGTGGTCAGGCTCGCTGACTTGGTTGCCACATGTCATCGATTCCCAATTGCGCAGATCGATGCTCATGCTGTTGATCACTGGATTGTCTGCTCCAGACTCGATTATTTACAGACCGCTGCCATATAGCTGCAATATTGCTGAGTGCAGCATAAAACTAAACTCTCTCACTCACTCATTCTAGGAATACACAATGTTTCTGAAATATACTGCTTTCATGTTATTCTCATTCATGACTAGTTACAACTGGGCTTTGTTAATATCAGCTTCAGGACGACAAGTACAGATACTAATCTGGTCGTCATCATGTTTGCTGATTTGGAATTGACACCTGATTCATTTATCGCTGGTCCGTACATATTCAAGTCTGGAGATCCAATTGATATGATCTGTCTTTTGTGCCTTGTGTGTATGATTAAATACTTGTAACAATTCTGTCTTCATCGTATTTGCTCATTTAGAATAGACATGATTCATTTATTGCTAGGTCATACATACACAGAAATGTCTACATATATCAATTTCACGTATGATCTGTTTTTCTGTACCCGCTGCTGGTTGTAGGATTGGCTGCTGATAACATTCTTCTCTTCATCATGTTTGCTCTTTTAGAATAGACACATGAATCATTTACCACTTGTCCATACACAATAACATCTGGAATAGAACACCCATAAAACATGCTACTGTTGCACTTGAGAAAGCATTTATAGCTTATATTGCAGCATTTTTTTGTACTGCCATAACACAAGTTTGTAATTTATGGAAAATTGATGATGGTGTATGAGTAGTAAGAAATATTTGTAATTTAAGAGTAGGTTTGAATTGTCAAAGGATTATTGGCTCTTATAGTTGTGAAGAGAAGTAGATAAGGTTGCTTGTCTATAACAGTGAGTGGTGGCTGTGGCGGTGAGAAGTCCCCTAAACACTACCGCAGGGGTAAGATAACACTGGGGGCAGACTGACTCCCTGCTATCTGACATGTGTTATGATGGAAGGCTACACAAATCACTGAGCCGAGCAGTGCCCAGATACACAGGGATGTTTACCAGCATGTGGCACTAGCAGTGCTTCAGATGCCAGGAAGACTGCCTCCACCAGTCTCTCTCTGACTAGCAGACGGATTCCAGGACCGAGCAGACGGATGAATTTTTGTGTCTTTAGACTTAGTGCTACTGTGATATTTGTATGAAGGTATATGGCAGGCGGTGTAGGGAGCTTGTACTACTGAAACGCTCACTAGTTTGTATCAGCTGGGACGTTCCGCGGGTTATGTGAATGAAAGAATTCTGATCTGTTTTGATTCATGACTGTGTGATGTCTTCATGGCGGTGCTACCACAGGAGGTGACACACCGATGACTTTTATGTGAGAGAAGAGTGTTCGCATCAGATTTGTTGACAGAAGTGTTCAGTTTATGAACAGCTTGGGCCTTGTTTCATAACACTGTAGCACAAAATCATTACCAGGAGCTCATTCTCTCTGCTATTGTGTCCCTCCATCCAGCCTAATTTCTCTCGTTACTGCACAGACTAACAAGCTGAATGGAACTTGTGTTAAAGGATGTACAGTACTGCACTTCATTTCACTGAGGAGATTTTCTTACAGGAAATAGCCACTATCAAACACTGAACTGATTGTCATGAGGATTTAAAGGAATGTATTGGAAAGAATATGAAAAGGGTTTCTAATTTTCTCTGATTAAATAACAGAGACATGCTTTCGAAGTGAAACTTGCCGGCGTGCGTTATCTCATACTGGGAACGCTGAATGCAAGAGAGACAAGCGGAGGATATAGAATACCCAGCTCTCGGGGGAATCAGGAAAGTGGAAGCAGAAGGCGCTACAAGAAGAGAACGCCAGCACATTGGCAGATGAAGGGGAGTGCGAGGGTGTTACGAGCCTCGTGTCGTGCCTTCCTCACTGCTTCTTAACTGTTAGCAACATCGTAAAAGAGCGGAACTCTTCCTCAAGCCTTTGTCAACACTGTACAGCAAAAGGCAAAATCTATTCTGTGCACATCGAAGATTGATTCATTGACAGTTGGTATTGTGAAGGAAATTTAATGAGCTTAGCCTGGCTGGGTGAAGCCAAGTGTATGAATGGTTAGCACAGGACGAGCCTTCTCCAGAGACACAAAGGCTGTTTAGGGCTGAGTTTGCCGTATTTTTTCCCTACTGATAGCTTGAGTGGTCACTGCGAGGTGAGCCCTAGTCTAGAGTGTGGCTGACTCATGGCTTGAGGACTGTATCCTAATGGATTTGTGTTGAGCTACGTGACACTGTCAACCAAAACGTTACATAGGAGTTACATACTTGGAGAACTACAGAAAGGTAACTGTTTATTCTTGTGATCATGTTAAAAATGCAAACTTAAAAGGAAGAATCTTTTATCAGTCATCGTGACATATCAATAAAGCCTTGTTTAATGCAGTTCATTTTACAGATATTCATGGTTTGCCACCATTGTCTCATGTTTGATCTAAGCAGTTGTTGTTTTTGTCACTGGCTTGAGTTGTTTTTTCTAAAGATTATTCTTTGTAGGGGAGATATTCATGTCATCGTAAACGTATGATCGTGATAAGCTGTTAAGCAGGACATATCCTCGTTACAGTTTGAATATTTCAATAGTAGTGACCCTCTCAGTCCCTGCATGATTAGCGTCTAAGGCAGCATGTTTTTTGTCAGTGGCAACGGTGTCTAGTTTCGGAGTTTAGCAGTAATTATATCCTTGACATGTTATTTCATTGATTATGTCCCTTCTTGGTTACTTCTTAATGGGATTATGGTCTCAGCTGTATGGGGTGTGTACTTTAAGTAGTTCACACAGCTCAAAGGTTTTGTCATGAGATAGTTTACATTCATGGAGGACATTGTGATGCTTCAGTGACAAAGTTCTGTATGATTTGCGTTTTAGAAGTTGGTCAATAACAGTAAAGGCAAGATACTTATATGGATGACAACTTCTTTCTTCTGTTATAATGGTTCGGTATAGTGCCTTATGTCATTGTTTGTCGGGCATGACAAATTTATAGGGATCTATTCTAAAATGTCACATCATAACAGAATAAAGAAGTTGTCATCCATAAAAAGTCTTCCCTTTTCAGTAACAAAGATGATATTAAAAAATCTGTGTTTTGATTTGTTCCATATGTTCATGTGTTTTTTCGGGTGAACAATTGACTATCACTTCCATGTGTTTTGATAGTTGTCACTGGTAGTGCAGGAACACTTAATATTTCACTCTGATGGTATGTTTTTTAGGATTCAGTTTAATAAATACAAGGTTTGCAAACAAGCATATGATGCTGATAATATAACAGAATTCACCTTAAAGCACATATTTACAGTTGTGTGGGTAGGTTTGCTGGCTATGAAATGACTTGCAGTTAAAGTAATGTCATAAGTACATGATTGCAGGAGTATTTAATCATTGAGTCACTGTCAAGATAGACCAACATTTGTGTACTCATTTACTGTCGTTTACTGACTATTTGTGGTTCATCTACTGACTATCTGTGTATTCGTTTACTGACTATGTGTGTTTCGTTTACTGACCATTTGTGATAACAGCTTCATTACAGTTTGTTTCCAATACATATTATGGTGAGTTTTGAAAATTAACGTGTACACTACGAAATTTCTATTCAGACCTCTAAATATATGCATAAATAATTTTTTGTATGGTTTATAAAACATGAGATTATATTGATTAAATACGATAGATTGTGTCAGAGTTATGTTAGGGTACTGTCGATTAAGTATTGATTGGCCAGTAGCAGAGAAAGGGATCTTGGATATTTCTGTGCAGATTCTTTTGTTGTGAAATTTTTATTGTTAAACAGAGAGCCTTTGTTCACTGATATGATGACCCATCTTCTGTCGCTACTGATTTTGAAGTCATCCACTTCTGTGCACACAAATTCAGACCGTTCATTATTGATAAATTCACAGAAGGAAAGACTCAGTTGCTGTATGAATGGGGGGTTTGCAAACAGCTGGGTGCACTGACGTGTGGTAATAATCACTTCAGGATGGTGAACATGAGATCTCTCAATCAATGGAGTGATTTTATGAGGCTTTCTTGTTCTCTAACAGGATTAAAGGACAACACTCGGGATTAAGCGACTCCTTCAGTTTAGTAACATGCTAGCGAAGAATTTAAAGTAAATCAAGAAGGTGTCCATTTTGATTTGTTTTGTAGATCATCATGGTAGTTTATTCAAGAAGTCAGAACAAGGGATAATTGTTATCAGACTGAGAGGTAAGGGTGAGTATTCACATCTGTAATTTGACGAAGGAAGCATTTTCTTGGTGATCAATTCTGTCTTGCAGGAACCAGACTGAGGTTATTTTCATATGAAATGTGACCACTTAGATCCTATGATGGAGTCTACAAAGATCAATGAAGTTGATGTTGAAAGTTATTGAATCTAGTGGCTCTGGTATGGCTTGCGAAATTGGAAATCTGATCGGAATTGAAAGATCTGCTACAGCATGGAAAGATAGCTGTGACTCAGGTCATTTTATGATGGTTTTGTCTGGAAACATTATCATCAGCGGGTAAAAATGATGTTTGTTTCAATTTCTGGAAATGTACTCCTTGACATGTACAAAGAGAATTTTTTGTGTTCAGTAAGAGGAACACCTCAGTTAATTAGTTACATTTGTATTACCAAATACCAAAGAATTGTTTGGGGATTATATTATGCTTGTTTTGAATTTTTTGAATTTTGAACTTTGGTAAGGTCTGAATTTATCATTGCATTACATTTTGAGAGCAGAATGTTTTACCTGAGTTTAAGTGTTGCTGTGAATTTGTCATCCGTCACTGTCTAACCAGTTAATGGATGTTTTTGTCAGATTTTATGAACAAATATTGTGATTGGAGATTTGTATAGTCAAACAATTGGGAATTTCTGTATTTCAAGAAAATTGTCAAACCCAGGTATGTCGGACCCCTTGGAACTAGAGAAACATCTGGTATTCACACATCTGTTTATTACTGCAAACATAGCAATCAGAAAAGAGTAAGTATACGAACACAATTATAATGATAAAAAACAGGAGCATTCATTGTAGGCCATTATACTAGGTGCAAGTTTGTGCAAATATTGTTTGTTTTTTTTGAATATATTTTTGAGTTTTAACTTGTTTTTAACCTTTTTTGGAACAAAAATTTAATTCAAGTTAACTATGAATTTAAGACATGCAGTATGAGTTAAAACAGGTTTTAAATAGACTAAAAGAGCGATAATTATCATGAGTGAGCGAGTGACTTTGGTTTAACGCTGCTTTTAGCAATATTGCAGCAATATCACGGCGGGGGACGTCAGAAATGGGCTTCACACATTGTACCCATGTGGGGAATCAAACCTGGGTCTTCGACGTGAGGAGCGAACGCTTTAACCACTCGGCTACCTCACCGCCCCTAATTATCCTGAATTTGCCAGGATTAGACTGATATTAGAGCATAAACTCCCCAAATATTCATACCAAACCACAGAGCTGAAAATTTTAAGACTTACCGCCCCCCACTGAAAACCAACGAGTCTTATCAACGTTGTCCAAAAGTATTCTTTAATTAGATAAAACAAGAAAAGGTATGACTGATGAGCTGTATGTGCACCTTCGACAAGCTGATAACCTTTGGCATATTGGACCTACGTCAAGTTCACAAATAACCCATCATAGTGTCACAAGGGGTAAAGTCTAGAGATGTAATTGTTCAAATATTAACCTGTCAGTCAGGTAACTTCTTAATTTTTTCAGACCTGACACAAAGTTAACCCATCTTGGGTGTTCCGGCAGACCGCTATTTTGTATACTGGTGACATGACCAGGAATATGAAAGTCTGTGACAGCATAGTGTTGTAAACATAGCAGAATCCATATTACTTGTCATTTAAGGAATGTGTAATTAATATGAAATGTAAACAAATGTAAGAAAATAGCATCCAATATTTATCAGCTATTTTACTCAAATATTTGTAACATTGATGTTCAATTTGGAGTGCTTTTAAACAAATTAAAAGTTGATCTGTGGTATTTGATTGGCTGACCATAGTTTGTGTTTTCAAAGAAAGCAAATTAGGCCACACCCACTCACTCACTCACTACTATTACTTGATTGACTTATTGATATGAATGGGATGGGCTTGAGATGATTTCTGATCTGGTTCAGTGTTAATGATTGTTTATAGCGTGTTAATGATCACATACTGGTAAGCAATCAGTGGTTATTATTGACATATGTTTTTAAGAATAGACTTTTATCTGTTTTTATGTTAATTGAGATATCAATGTAATGGCTTGTATGCACATTTGGCATGATTCCATTGTCTCTTAATGATGAAGAAATTGGCTAACTGATAAGGTTTTGTAACTGAATGCATGTCGTGATGCTTTAGCAGAATTTTCAGGACCCCTATAAATACAGTATTAGATATCCTGACTGCCTTTAACAAATGACTGACATTTGAATGAGAAGTATTTTCCCAGTTGACCTCTCCTGAACTTCACAGGAAACAGATCAAGGAGTTATGGTTATCGAGCAAGGCATCAATTTCTCTGCTCTACATTACATCATCTATTGCACGAGCGACAAATTTGGTAAGCGATTTGCTGAATTAATGGTATCTAGAATGCACTGCCACACCACTAGGGGGGTTATTAAGAGTTCTATGAATAATTGACGATCCTGTTATGGAAATTGATGAGAACATGTTTCTATCCATGCAGAAAATTTATTTGAAAATATTGATGAATGGTACATTAAGAGTAATGGATGTTTGAGAGTCTTGGATTTTGAACATTTTCTGGGGCATCATTGCTGCTAGACTGATGGAAATGGGAAGTGGTGTATGGCGTTTTTCCAAAGTGTGTCTCATCGCAGTGGATTTGTAAGTATGTTATTGACACAGACATGACTCTGAAGATCAGGATTGAATTTGAAAGCCTGGAGTAGTTTTTAAAAGTTAAGGCCTCGTGTTATATTTCTTGATCAAATAGTGCTGAAAGTCCACACCGAAGTCTGATGAACAGGGACAGGGATGGAATGATGGTTGGTGGGAAGGGTAGTATAGGAATATATTGAACAGATGCAGATGGGCTGTCCTGTTGGTGGATGGATGGACAGATGGATGTTATTGGGCAGTTTGACTATGTATAGATGAGATTGAGTTTTTCTATAAGTGAATGGAGGTTTGACTTGTTATGACACTGTGTTGATCTATTTAAAAGCTCGTTTTTATTGATGATCCTGTTTTCTGGATAAGCAAATGGATGGTTTGACATAATGGAGAAATGGAATGATGGAGATTGATAGACACACA